TAATCCTTCTGGCATCCTTGTAGGACAAATGAGGACACTGAAGATCAGAGAGTTTAAATTACTTATGAAAAGTCACACAGTAGAATAATCAACAGTAGGAAATAGTGTCTGCTTTAACCTTTGTTAAGTAAAACTTTTTTTTGTTTGTTTTTAGAGACACGGTCTTTCTCCACTGTCCAGGCTAGAACTCTTGGGCTCAAGCAATTCTCCAGCCACATTTGTTTGTGCTTGCCTAATTCATTTCTTTTTCAGTGATGAGGTCTCACTATATTGCCCAGGGTAGTCCTGAACTCCTGGTGCAAGTGATCCTCCCGCCTCAGCTTCTTGAAGCACTGGGATTATAGGCATGAGCTCCCACACCTGGTCAGACTTTCCAGTCTTCAGACTTCTTTTTTTTTTGAGTTGGAGTCTCACTCAGTCGCCCAGACCGCTCCCAGCCACTGCAGCCTCGACCTGCTGGGCTCCGGCAATTCTTCTGCCTCAGCCTTCCAAGTAGCTGTAATTACAGGCACACGCTACCATGCCTGGCTAATTTTTTGATTTATTGTAGAGATGAGGTTTCGCCTAGTTGCCCAGGCGGGTCTCAAACCCGCGGGCTCAGGCGATTCACTCACCTCAGCCTCCCAAAGCGCGGGATTACAGGCTGAGCCACCGAGCCCGACTCAGACTTCTTAAATGATAGCATGCATCCAACAAATGTTTACTGAGGTATAGACTAGTGGAATAGAATAAAGAATCTAGAAATAATCCTGCACATATATAGGCACATGACTTACAATACAGATAACATTGAAGTGCTGTAGTGAAAGGATGGGCTTTTTAATAAATGAGGCTGTATCAGTTATATAACCATATGGGAAAAAATGAATTTGAATCTCTATACCATTCACAAAAAATTAATTTGAGCTGAATAAGAGATGTAAATATACAAAGTAATATAATAAAGCTTATAGAAAATTATCTGCATGATTTTATCTCATACAAATCAAACATTTCTTAAATACACAAAGATTTGTAAAACAGGGATAAAATAAGGATCAAACCATAAAGGAGAAAATCGACAAATCAATCTTTATTAAATGAGTTCATCAAAAGAAGTAAAAAGACAGGCCATTTTACTGGGAGAAGACATTTGCAACACATATGTGCAATAAGAGATTATTCAGAATACATTAAAAAGCTCTATAAACACAAATAAAAATCAATTAACCCAATAGAAAAATAGGCAAAAGGCTTGAACAAGATATAATAAAAGAGATATTCAGATGACCAGTAAACATATGAAAAGGTGTTTAACTTTATTAGTCATCAGAACAAAATGTGAACTGAAACCAAGAAACCACTACACATTCATGAAAGTGACTAAAATTAAAAATGCTGACAATATCAAGTGTTACTAGCCCTGTAGAATAACTGGTGGGAGTGGGAATTGATATAAGCACTTGGAAACACTGTTTGACGGTGCCTTCTAAAGCTTGACATCTATATAAAATCCATGACCCAGCATCTCCTCTCCTGAGTATATACCCAGGAGATATCAAATTATACGTAAAAAGTATGTTCGTAGCAGCGTTCTTCAAAATAGCTCCAAACTGGAAACAATCCAAGTATCAATCAACAGTAGGGTAGATAAGTAAATTGTGATGTCTTCATACAATGGAACACTATACAGCAGTGCTTTCTTAACCTGTGGATAAGAACCATATTTTTTTTTCCCTAACTGTTAGGATGAAACTCTTGTATAATACAATATAACACGTAATGTCAAACTGTTCAGAAGTTTCAAATGTTCACATGTACCTTCTGTTCACATGTTACATCAGTGATAAACAGGGTATGGACCAGCAGTGCTACACAAACACACTTTGAATAGCACTGTTCTTAAGCAATGAAAAACAACAAACTGCAACTACACACAATAATGTGAATGAATCTCAAAAGCAAACACAATGGTCAATATTTTATGATTTCGTATATATAAAACTCAGTAACAAAATCTAACATTAACCTGTGACATTAGAAGTTAGGACTCACCCTTAAGCAGGCTGTCATTTGAAGGGTGCATGGGGAGAATTCTGGGGTTTTTAATCTTGGCATTGCACGATTTGCCTACTGGTTATATAGGTGTGTTCTTTTTGTGAAAATGTATCTAGCTGTATACTTATTATTTGTGTACTTTTCTGCTTATGTGTATATATTATGCTTAACATTTGTATTAAAATTTGATGACCTGTTAAACACAAATCCTCTATCCTCATGAAAGTAATAGGTTAGTAGAGGAAATGAGGTATATACAGGAAAATAAACGTGAAATTACAAATTATGATTTCATGAGAAAAATCAAAGAGTCTTCTCTGAGAAGATATTTTAGCTGATCTGGAGTATGAAAAGGAATCAGTGATGCAAATAGCAGAGGCAAATAATGCAGGGATTTGAGTGGAGAAACAGAAAATTTAGCGGATTTAGGGGAAAGAGCATTATGTACATAGTGTACAACTTGTTATAAAAATTGGAGAAGGAAGAACTGCGATGGAAAGTAGGATTTTGGTTTGCAGTTGCAAATGGATAGTCTTGTAAGAGTTGTGTCAACATCAGCATGAAAATATAATCTTACCAAGAGTTAAGTAGTGGACGAAATTCACATGGGTTTCATTGTACTTTGTGTAATTTGGGGTAAGAATATATTTAACATTTGAGAGAATTTTTATTCAAGTACTTGGAGATGGATGGCGAATAGGACAGTTTACAACCGTTCCAATCCTAGCGTCTCTGGCATTCCACTAGACTCTCTTCCCCTTTTCCCACTGCCCCATCCCCCACAATTATGTCTTTATCATTTGTTACAGCTCTATTAGTCTTTGTTTCTGTTGTCCCTTACCCTTTCCTCTCACCTTCAAATGTTTTATTGAAAGTTTTAAAGCACTCTTATGTATGTCATTTTCTTTCATCTTTTTGCAACCCTAATAAAACTTCATGTTTGTGGAGATGCATGTGGGGAAACAGAGGATCAGAGAAACTATGTGACTTGTCTAAGGTCGTAACAGACTCCTGGCCTCAAGTACAGTGCTTTTTTTTTTTGCAGTTATGCCACTGAGGCTTTTATCTCTTCCAGATCTACACATGATAGTGTTATGTTTAATATGTTGTCATTCACATTGTGAGAAATGAAAGTGTGCCCTAATTGCTTGCTAGATTTTAAGAGAGACATTTTCCTAGAAGGGCTATGTGAGTTATATATGCTCACATATGTAGGATATGTGTATAAATTGTGAATAGATTGCACGTCACATGGACTTAAGTTATATAAGAAGTTTTAGAATTTTTAAATAGTTTTTGAAGTCACTGGAGTTATCCTGAAGTACAGCAATCAAGGCCCTCTATCTTAATAGCTCTAATTTCATGTGACTTCTTAATTACTTAAAATTTGGAAGAAGAGAGATATGGGCTAATGCAGATGATTAAAGAAACTTGTAATGGCCCAAGATCTCACTAAAAATAAAGAGGTAAATCAATGATTACCCAGTGTTTCATTTTTTTCCTACTGTTTGCCCTCTTCCCTCTAACTCCCTATGTCTCTTTAATATCCCTGCCAATGAATAAACATTGGAGATCACTTATTTTTCATTATTTGCTGATAGCTCTAGGAGAATCAGGAGATTAAGAATATAATAATTTGTTTAAAATGAAGTTGATGGATTTATTGCCTTTTTTTCCTTTTTTTGAGTCAAGGTCAAGCTGTAGTGTGGTGGTGCAATCGTAGCTCCCTGTAACCTTGAACTACTGGGCTAAAGTGATCCTCCCCTCAACCTCTGGAGTAACTAGAACTAACAGGTGCATGCTAGCACACACGGCTAATTTTTTCTTTTTTGGGTAGAGACAAAGTCTTACTGTGTTGCCCAGGCTGGCCTTGACCCCTGGCCTCAAGGAGTCCTCTTGCCTCAGTTTCCCAGAGTGGGATTACAGGTGTGAGTCACCACGCCTGACGAATTTATTGCTTTTAAAAGTTAAGAGATGAGACATTTGTATTTCACATCCGTTCGAACTTTTTTTTTTTTTGAGTTGGAGTCTCACTCTGTCACCCAGACTGGATTGCAATGGCCGCTCCCGGCCACCACAGCCTCAACCTGCTGGGCTCCGGCAATCCTTCCGCCTCAACTTTCCAGGTAGCTGGAACTACAGACGCGCGCTACCACGCCAGGCTAATTTTTTTTGATTTGTTGTAGAGATGAGGTCTTGTCAAGTTGCCCAGGTGGGTCTTGAACCCTCGGGCTCAGGCAATCTACTCACCTCGGCCTCCCAAAGTTGGGATTACAGGCTGAGCCACCGAGCCCGGCCTTGTTCGAACTTTTATAATGACTAACGAACTGAAGCAGTATGCCATACAGCAGAAGAATCTAGGCTTCTTGGAAATGAAAAAAATTCCTTTAGTGGAATTGAATCTTAAGATATGGTAAAACAGAGTGACAAGATCAGCAACTAGGGCGTCAGCTATTCCTAGAGGTGGTTGCGGTTGTTCATATGGGTTAGTGACTATCAGTATTGCCTCAGGAGGTCTTATTAAAATATCCTGCCGTCTACAACGTATGGTATAAAAATGATTTTCTAGGCTGTACACAGTAGCTCATGACTGTAATAACAGTATTTTGGGAGGCTGAAGTGGGAGGATCACTTGAGCCCAGGAATTTGAGACCAGCCTGAGCAATATAGCAAGACCTCATCTCTACAGAAAATCAAAACATTAGCTGGGTGTGGTGTCAGGCACCTGTAGTCACAACTACTTGGGAGGCTGAAGTGGAAGAATTGCCTAAGCCTAGGATGTCGAGGGTGCAGTGAGCTATGATTATGTCACCGAACTCCAACCTGGGCAACAGAGTGAGACTCTGACTCAAAAGAAAAAAAAGAATGAGTGTTTGGGGGACAAGAGACGTAGTGATGTACAGACCCCTCTTTTGAGGCATTCAACCCCCAATTCTTCCTCTCCTCTTTTTTATTTGCTGTAGAGTGATTCTCATCAGTTTCGTGTCATGGCAGCTGTCCTTCGCCATTGTTTACTAATCGTAGGTCCATCTGAAGACAAAACAGAAGAACTGCACAGGTGGGTAAACTCTGGGTTGGTATTGCAATAAAGGACATCATTTCTTGTTGTTTTGATGCATCCACTTTTTGTTTGTTATAAATAAGGACAAGAAAGTGAAAATTTACAGTATATCAGGTAACTGATCAGTCAGAAATCATCTCCACGAAAATTATTACCATTCCTTGAGAAGAAATTTTCATTCTGCCCCCTTTGACTTTATATATAACAATATTGAGCCTCAAAAAGAGAAGAGAATTTGGCAATTTCTGCATTCACTGATAAAACCCAAAACAGCAATAATAATAGCACACAGTTATTAAACACTTATTATGTAGCATTATTCTAAGTCCTTTGTGAAGATTAACTTCCCTTAATCATCATACCAACCTTATAAGGTAAATACTGCTATTTTTCCCTTTGAACAAGTGAGGAAACTGAGGCATAGAAAAATCAAGTAATTTCTCCAAGATAACACAGCCCTAATAAGTGGAAGAACAGGGATTTGAGCCCTGCTTTTAATTATGAGACTTAACTAATACTCTTCACTAATTTCATTTTAAGAATATTTACCAAAAAGTGTATCTTAAGCAATGATAATATTTTTAAAAAACCTATAAGAATTGGGTCATAGCATCTAGTATTAAAATATATTTAAAAATAAATTAAAATATATAAAATATATTTAAAGTAGTTCAAATTTTGTGATTTGTCTGTTAGAGCTATTAATAGACTGCTGTAAAAATTTGTCATATTCTAAGAACTGAATACTAATTAATGCTTTTTTCCGAATTCTCTTACTTTTTATCCTGGATCACATTTGTAGTAACTAGCGTTCTGACATCATCATAATATTACTCATGTTACTTTATTCTATAAGAATACAGATGGCATTTTAAACAATTCAAGTAAATGCAGATCTGCAAACAAATAACTCTGGCATTAACTCTGTTTTAAAAGAATTTTGCCGGGCTCAGTGGCTCAGCCTATAATCCCGCTCTTTGGGAAGCCAAGGTGAGTGATTTGCCTGAGCCCGCTGGTTCGAGATCCGCCTGGGCAACTTGGCGAGACCTCATCTCTACAATAAATCAAAAATTAGCCAGGCGTGGTAGCGTGCGCCTGTAGTCCCAGCTACTTGGAAGGCTGAGGCGGAAGGATCGCCGGAGCCCAGCAGGTCGAGGCTGCGGCGGCCGGGAGCGGCCACTGCACTCCAGTTTGGGTGACAGAGTGAGACTCCAACTCAAAAAAAAAAAAAGAGAATTTAACATGGAATTGTTCTTAATAGTAGAATTTACCTTTTGAGCACTTAAAATATTCTATTTTCCAAAATATGACTTAAATAAAATTTTATAGAAATACGAGAGTGTATATATATGCTTAATTGTTATTTTCAATCAAATCCATGTTATTTTAGTTATAATCAGCAGTTTATTATTTGGTATTGTACTGAGTCTGTTCATAGATTATCTTTACGTACTCCCTGCCCTGCAAGCCTTCAGAGATTGTCTTCTTGATTTAAAAAGTGTAATTTTTTTCTGTAGCTACAAATCACATATTAATTTTGAGACTGTGCCTTTAAAAAAGTCAGATTAACCACAATAAATCATATTCTAAAAATGTTTTATTAAGCATCTTGACTCACTGTAATTTTTTTTCCATAATCAAGAGACATACTAGAAATCTAGACATTTAAACTGAAAGAAAATAGGCTTATAAGCCCAAGAGTAAGTGACTTGTTTGTTAGAAATCAGGTATCATAAGTTAAATAGTCATACAAGGATGTGAGATGAAAACGTTTTAACAGGAATTGCTATTAGTGTCACAAGTACATTGCCAAAGATTTTCCTGAATAATGAACATATCAACACAGCACCTCTTCAGGAGACTCTCTTTTTGTCAAGAGAGAGCAAAACTATATAGAGGATTTTAAAATCAAACATTTTTTAAAGTAACCAGATTTCTTCATTTTTTAAAAATTTGCTTTTATTTTAAAAGTTGCTTTGATAAAAGTTTATTAGCTTTTAATGTAAATACAGGGAGTATCCCTACAGCCACAGGCAGGATTTATGAGTATTTCTTAAAGACTTTCCTGAGAGGTTGAGGTTGCTGCTGACTTAACAGTTCATCTGGAATGGCCTTACATGTTCCTTTAATCAGAATTAGAGTGATTAATATATCATTTTGAGCAGTAATGACTCTAGGCTAATCCATTTAAATACAGAGAAACTGCACCAACCTCCAAGGGTTATTTTAGGAAACTTACTAGAATTGTAGTATCTGCTAAATTCTGTAGTAACCCTGAAAACAATTTTTCTGTGTGTGTGTGCTTATGGCCTAAATTTTTCAAAGAAAAGGTTCCTTCGAAGCTACTTCTCTCATTCCATTTCTTAGTTATTTTCTAAGTTTGTTTTTACTTTTTTTGGACATTTGGATTTGTTTTAAGGAAAAGTATAATGAAATAGGTGATCCTAGATAGTATAGTATATGTTTTGCTTTATCATCAAACTCAAAGGGTTGTGATGATTAAACGAGAAGTTCATAAAGCACCTTCTCCCTGGCACTGAGAAAGCACTCAGTAAATGGGAGCTGCTGCCATGCTGTTTTTATTACTATTATTGTCATAAGTATATTAGCTTTTTAGATCTAATATTTAGCTCATTCTAAATCATTTTTTAACATTGCTTCTTGATTTTGATGTTTTGTTTAGAAATTTATTTCTGTGTTTATCCTGTGATCATATAAAGAAATCTGCTTTCTGTTCATTTAAGTTTTTCTGAAGCTAGACATGTCGTTTTACGCGACATACATGTCAGGAGACTGTCGTAAAGGTGCTTAAGGAGAAGAGTAAATAAAAATAGTTTGGCAGCTTTTTCTACTGTTAATGTTGTCTCTGTGAGACACTGTCTTTTTTTCAGAGGAATCGAGAAGAGATGGACGTAGAGATAAAATTGTCAGCTCACAAAGACAGCAGACTTTTACCTTCATTTCCACTAATCAACATTTACGTAGTTTTACAATCTGCTCTATTTCATTTCCTTTGTCTACACTTGTGGTATCAAGTAGGTTGTTGACATAATCCACTTTTTTTCCTACATTGAAGGACATCCTAATTCTTTTCATCTCTATCTGCCTGAAAGTATTTTTAGCACTCCGCTTATATATAAACACTTAGTCCAAAAAAGTTATGTGTGGGTATGATTTTGTTTTATTTTGGAGCTTAGGGGAGAAGTAGGGGATGGCCTATATATTGGTGAGGAGGGGAGAAGGTAGGACCAGATTTGATTTAATTTATTTTAGGCTGTCAATCTAATTTATTTTACTCACTGAGTATATTAGCATTTACAAAGCTTTTCATTATAGACGTAATTCATTTTGTCTTCACATATTGAAGAGGACAGTTTGCTAAGCATAACATCTTATACATGGCAGACTTTTTTCTTCTAACTTTTAAAAAGTATGGTAAAATACACTTAACATGAAGTTTACCATCTTATCAGTTTTTAAGGGTAAAGTTCAGTGGTATCAAGTATATTTATAATGTTGTACAACCATTGCCGCCATCCATCTCTATAACTCTTCATTTTGTAAAACAGAAGCTCCATAACTATTAAACACTAACTCCCATTCCCACCTTTCTATAGCCCCTGGTAACCATGATTCCACTGTCTATCTCTATGGATTTGACTACTCTAAATGCCTCATATGACTGAAATCATACAGGATTTGTCTTTTTGTGGCTGGCTTTTTTCACTTAGAATAATGTTCTCAGGGTTCATCTATGTTGAGATGAATGAATGTACGTCTACATTTCCCTTCTTTTCTTTCTTTTTAAGACTGGATAATATTCCATTGTATGTATATACCACATTTTGCTTATCTATTCATCCATCAGTGGACACTTCTACATTTAGCTATTATGGATAATTCTGCTGCGACATGGGTGTGCAAGCGTTTTCTGATTTCTCCACATCCTTGCCAACACTTGTGATTTTACGTTTTGTGTTTTTTTTGTTTATAGTTGCTATCCTAATGGGTATGAGGTAGTTTTGATTTGCGTTTCTCTAATGATTAATGATGCTGGAGAAATGTTTATTCAAGTTCTTTGCCCATTTTTGAACAAGATTGTTTTGTTGTTAAGTTTTAGGAGTTATCTGTATATTCTGGATATTAATTCCTTATTGTTATTTGCAAACATTTTCTCTTATTCTATGAGTTGCAGTCCAATTTATCTATTTTTGTTGTTGTTGTTGCCTGTGTCCTGGTATTATGTCCAAAAAAAATCATTGTTAAATCCAGTGTTGTAAAGTTTTTACCCTATGTTTTCTTCTAAGAGATTTGTAGTATTGCGCCTTACATTTAGGTCTTTGCTCCGCCTTGAGTTAATTTTTGGAAGCTTCATTCTTTTGCATGTGGATATTCATTTCTCCCAGCACCATATGTTGAAAAGACTGTGTTTTCCCCATTGAGTGGTCTTGGCATCCTTGTCAAAAATAATTTGACCGTATATATATATGCTGGGTTGTCTGTTGCATCCCACTAGTCTATATGCCTTTAGGTTCATAACACACCATTCTGATTATTTCAGCTTTATATTAAGTTTTGAAATTAGGAAGTATGAATCCTCCAACTTTGCTTTTCTTTTTCAGGATTGTTTTGGCTACTCAATATCCCTTGAGATTCTATATGAATTTTAGGATTTTTTTTCTGTTTCTACAAAGAATTTCATTGGGATTTTGGTTGGGATTGCATTAAATCTGTAGAACACTTTGGGTAGTATTGACATTTTAACAATATTAAGTCTTAATCACACATGACAAATTTTTAATAAGTGTTTGAGAATTAGATTATTTATTTATTTACTTACTTATTTGGGTCGGAGTCTCACTCTGTTGCCCAGTCTGGAGTGCAGTGGCACAGTCAGGATTCAACCTCCTAGGCTCAGACTGTCCTTCTGCCTCAGTCTCCCGAGTAGCTGGGACTACTAATTTTTTTTCTTTTTACAGAGATGAGGCCTTGCTATG